TTATTACATAGGAGAACAATGGCAATCACTCAGCTGAACTATAATAAAATCAAATCACCCACCTACACCAGATACCTAAATAGAATTGTCCACTTTCTATAGCCTCAGAAAGCAAACAAAGAGAAAACCAAGTGGCAGGAAACTGAGTGTAGTTATGAAGGCATTTTATGAGTAGCAGATGCTTCAGACAATGGGCAGCAGTGTTGTGGCAGAGCGCAGAAATTTTTTGGAAGGTGAACATCACTGGCATGTAGTTGTCCTACTCCCACTAGGAGGATGGCTCATTTTTCACCTTAATAATTGACCCAATCCTATTGAAAAGCGAAAAGGGCCCTAGATTTGGTTTTTCTGTGGACATAAATCACATGGTAATCCTATCTGTGTCCACATGGAAGCCAGCACGGTACAAGACAAAACTACCCAAACCCTGCCCCCTCCACTCTATACCCCAAGGACCCTTAGAGGAGACTCCCTCTTCAAATTACGCTACCTTCCATGTTTTATCATCTGACCCATTTCCTTCCCTCCAGACTACATGGATTTACGATTTTGCTAAAAGCAAATAACAGCAACTGTCACTGAAAATAGGAGATTGACTACTAATTGAATAGATATGTGTTACTATAGGTACATGATACATCAAGCAAAGATCTCTGCTGAGGGAAGCCATCCAATAGAACTTTCTGTGATGGTGTTCTACATCTTTACTGTCCAATATGGTAGCCACTAGCCATGTGCATATTAAGCTTTTGAAATATACTTACTCAAACTGAGAAAATACATTTTTAATTTTATTTAACTTTAGCCACAGATAGTTACTGACTACCTTATTGGACAGCACACCTCTATAGACCATCATCTACTTCTTTTATTAATAATTAGTGCAAAATGGTTACTCAGTGTTTAAGACTTGACCTCCCAAGACAACCAAGAAAGTAAACTCAAAGGATCCTGGTCCTCTGAAGGCAAGATGACCTATAGAACTACAGTCCCTAACCAGATGTTTCTGAAATCTGCTTCTGGAAGGACTGGAAGGCTAACCTTCAAATTAGTCCTAGGCCACTTAATCACTATTCAGTTGAAGTACACGAAACAATTACTTCTATCAGTTCTAAGTAAAGATGGGCTGCTGACATTTAAGCAGCAGGAAAAAAAAATTAGAATTGACTGCTGCAATCACAGTGAGTACTGAAAGAATAAATTAAAAATCAAGTATCACCCAAATAAATGCAGAATAATTTATCTCTATTTTTCTCTTACAGAAACATCTCATTTAGTCATGCTTTGGGCTGGGAACTAGAGAGATTTGCTTTTCTATAAAAATGGATTTGTTAAGGTACAAGGGAAGGTGGCAAGCTTTGCAAGGCCTGTAAAGGGCAAATGCCAAGCCTTTGTGAGGATGCAAGTATGGGCAAAGAATGCGGGGCTTGGATCTTGAGAGAAATAGAAAGCTATTGAACTATTTTGAGGCAGGGAGAAGACATGACCAGTTTGGGATTTCACAAAGTTGCCTGTGACTGCCATGTGAAAAAACTTTTGGAGTGAGGCCAGAGGACTGATAGCAGGAAAGCCAGAGAGGAGTGGGAAGATTCAAGAGATACTTAGGGCAAAATTGACTGGGATTCATGATTGGATAAAGGGTGAGGGAATGGCAGATAAAGAGCGAGAGCTTCCTGGTTTTTATAGCTGAATGGAGGAAGATCTAATCCTTGAGATAAATACACCAGAAAGAACCAGATCTCGTGCAGAAGGGAGGAAAGAATGAGTTTCATTTGGACATTTACGTTTGAATTCTACGACAAAAACAGCAAGGATAGGAAGTAGACAATTGGACATGTGAATCTAGAGTTCAAAGAAGTGGTTTCGTCTATACTACTGATTCCATTTTTTTTAGAATGGTAGATTGATGGAATGTGTCACTTTTCCACCCATTAAAGGTGATGCCTGGAAGTAGCATAAGTAGAGCAAAGAGGACTTCTCCAGAATCTATATTTTATAGGTCACAGCTTTCTCCTCACAAAACTTCACACTGCCCATCCCCTCCAGAAAAAACTGCAGTCACCACATATTTTGGGAACACTATGGTCTGTGGTCTTGTTCTCACTACTAAAAGACATCTATTTTGGCCATACTTGCCAAGCCTTTTTCCTGCTGTTTAGGCTGTGATGGTCTTAACATTTCAGCACTTTCTGACTTTTGAGGCCCTCCACTGGCCACATCCTCAGTCCACAGCCACATGATCCCTGAGCCCAGAAGGCGTAATTAGCCTGAGGCCTGGGATCACACAGCCCAATGTCCACAGGGGCCATGCTTAAACTGAGCCACTACCCAGCTCCATCCTGCTGTTGTCATGCAGAAATACCCAGTATTCCTGGAGTTTATAAAAGAAACTGAAAATGTAGAAGAGTAGGATGGGAGCCAAAAAAGTATGAAACCTCTCTACTCTTAAATGTTTAGTTCAAATTTTTTTTTAAAACCACCTGGGCGAAACAAAACTATATATTAGGTACAACGTACACTGCTCAGGTGACAGATGCACCAAAATTTCAAACCACCACTAAATAACTGAGTCATGTAACCAAAAACTACCTGTTCCCCAAAAACTAATGAAATAAATTTTTAAAAAAAAAAACTCTCGCAGACTCCGCTCGGACCCAGGGCCGTCAGTGTTTGACCTTTGGTCTCACCAATGCACATGCACAACATTCATATTCACATTCATTCATTAATTGTCCTTAACTGATGCTCCTTCCTACCAAATCCAAATGCATCCTCAGAATCTATCTCCACACAATCCTCCAGGGAGATAATAATCCAAATATTCAGAGCTACATATGAGTTGAAACTTATTTGCCATGTCTATTCTCCTTTGCAGGAACATGTGAACACCACAAAATTTTCCAAATAAAGTCCTCCTTTCTTTCTTTAAAAAGACAAAAAACAAAACTGCCTTGAAGCACACACACAAATGACAGGATCCTTTTGGTGTCTGCTTCTATTGGCAGATATTGTGTTACGAGTCTATAAGCTATTCCTATTTACTTTGCACCTTGTCTCTGCTCGGTGACCTCTTAAATGCCACTGTAGTTCAGTTAAATCAACATCTTTTTCTATTCACTCTTGGCCTTCACTTCTCCTCTCAACTTTTTTTTGAAATGTCAACACCATTTTCCTATACCTTGTCCTGATTAAAAGTAAGAAAAACCTGGATGCTTTTCTTTGCCTAATTCTCTAATGTGACGATAACTGATGAAAATGACTTTTCATACACTGACCTCCGAACTCAAGGGCAGTAGGGAGGAATCTGCAAGTTCCTGGACTTCTTTCTGCAAAGTGACTTGCTTTGTATTCACCTGAGTTTAAATGAATTGAAGAAAGAGTTCCCATTCATTCCAATTAGTGAAAAAGCAATCATTTTCCCATGTAAAATTAAAGCTTTAGCAGGCACCTTTCCCTGAGAAGGCATGAAGCTGAACACTTTTAATTTAAGCCAAACAAGAGCATTAAGAAGATGTATTCCTTTAGAGCTCTACTCTGTCAGGGGCCTTGAATGCCAGTTATTGACTTTTTAGCCAAAGTAAAAGATCTTTTTGCTATTGTCTTTATGGATCACTATTAAAAAAAGAACCAGCAGTTAGTCGATCATCAAGTTTTCTTTGGTGGGGGCAGAGGGAGGGAGAATTACAGTTGCATGCCGTGCATAGCAGGTGCATTCATTTGCTTGGGCTGACCTAACAAAGTCCCACAGACTGGATGGCTTAAATAACAGAAGCTCATTTGCTCACAATGCTGGAGGCTAGAAGTCTGAGATTAAGGTGTGGGCTGGGCTGATTTCTTCTGAGGCCTCTGTCCTTGGCTTGTAGATGAGCATCTTCACAAGATCTTTCTCTATGCACGCCTGTGTCCTAATCTGTTCTTATAAAGTCAACAGTCATTGTAGATTAAGGCCCACCCTAATGACCTCACTTAATTTAGTTACCTCTTTATAGATCCTGTCCTTAGATACAGTAACATTTGGAGGCACTGGGAGTTAGGACTTCAACATATAATTTTAGAAGGAGACAATTCAACCCAACACAGGGGCCTTGAGCATAACTTATGTTGGAGTGTGAGTTTTAGTGAGAATTAACAGAAACTAATTCATGCCAGTAAGAACAAAAAATGAGTAATAATAGTAATGAAGACAAGAAACAAAGAAAATGCTCTAAGGCAGAAAATGATCCTGCTTCAGAAAGGGACAGGAACTAAAAAAAACTCTTAAGCTACATTTCCTCTCCCCACTGCTTCCTCTGCAGATAGGCTTACTCTCCCTCTACAAGTATGCTTTCTCTTTTCCTCATTCCATAAGATAGAAAATGGTACCCACTCTTCCAAGCTTACGTAGAACAGGTCCTGCCATTTATCCAGACAGACTGGAAAGACTTCAGTCCTGATTTCCAGGGGACAAAATCGGATTGTCCCAGCCTGGGTTAGGTGTTCACCCTGATTCAATCAGTTACAACTATGGCAATATGGCCAATGAGGCTATTTTAAACATGGCTGTTTTGGGCCAATCTTTGTGAATTGGGATGATTCATATGGAAAAGATAGATATCCATGATCACTGGCCTGTAAGTAGGCTAAATGCTCTAAAACTTGTCACTATGTGGATAAAAATATTTTTTTCTGCATGTCCCATTCTTGTCAGATCTCAGCATCTGTTTCTTCTGCTAACCAGCTTAGCTAGATATTTCTCTTCTTGAAGCATAGACAATAGGTAACTATAGCAACTGGTTGTACAGGTAATTGCTATAAAACATTGCCCAGGGGTTAGAAAGCCATGGAGACACTGATCCCTACATTCGACTGAGGCATTAGTTCACAGCTAAGGTGAGTTTCTTGTCTCCAGAACAATCAATGTTTTACCTTTAAATATAAAGAAAAGTCTGTGTACCACAATTCTGCCTGAAAGCTCTGGCATTGAAGTGGGCCCAGGAGATGCAATTTCAAACAAGACTCACGTTTTCATCTTCCAGGTTCGTGACTTGGTTAGGTCTCAGTTGCCTCTAATCTTCTCCTTTGTCTTCGTGGCTTCAGCTGTCCAGCATTTCCACGGGCAGGCTAATGAGGAAAGACACAGGTTCAATAACATCACCTTTAGATCTAATAAGACAGTATTCCCTCAGATGCAATCAGTTCATCCCCAGAGGTCCAGCCAGCATCCTAGGCATCCTGGAATTCTTCAGTTCTTGTTGAGTTCCTCCTTGTCCATTTACTGTCACCTGGAATCCACAGACACAAAGCAATATCCTTTCGTCTCCTTCACTGTTTTAAACCAAACATAGCATTGGAGTGACTTACTTTAGAATGGCTAAGAAACAGACATCATCCAGGGATTTATGGGCTCATGTCTTCCTTTGCCAAGAGACTTTGGGAGACAGCTCGATGACCGAGCACATGGATCCAGGAGTTAGGCTACCTAGGCTGAAAGTCCAGCTCAGTCACTTTCTAGCTCTACCTTCAGCATGCTATTAACCTTTCTGAGCTTCAGTTTCCTCACAGAGTTGCTATGATGATTAAATGAGATAATATACATAAAATCCTTAGAACTATGTAATTTATTGTTATTTTGGGATTTTAATTTCATTTTATTTTTGAGACAGAATCTTGCCTCTTGCCAAAGCTGGAGTGCAGTGGCATGATCCCAGCTCACTGCAACCTCCACCTCCCAAGTTCAAGCAATTTTCTTGCCTCAGCCTCCTGAGTAGCTGGCATTACAGGTGTGTGCCACCACACTCAGCCAATTTTTGTATTTGTAGTAGTGACAGGGTTTCACCATGTTGGCCAAGACAATCTCAAACCCTTTTCCTCAAGTGATCTGCTCACCTCAGCCTCTCAAAGTGCTGGGATAGCAAGTGTGAGCCACTGCACCAAATTTATTATTATTTTGGTTGCTACAGCCATAATATAAAATCTTACCTGAAGAATCACCAAGGAATGGACTATGGCAAAATGTAGGGATATTCCTCTCCACTTACTATTCAAGGCCATCCTGCACCCTTTAATTGCATTCTCCTACCATTCAAGCATTTGGGATCCTCATGCAAATTTCCCCTACCAGCAGGCACCCAGATCTTACTCCTATGGTAACAGTACTCTCTAGGTCTTGGCTTTTACCCTCCTTTACCCTCGTTCCCCATTCTGTCTTCTCATCACAAGGTCAATGTCCAGTCTTTATCGCCAATGCATGCTGTCATCACCAGTAGGAGTAAAAAAGAAGACAGAACTCCTCAGAATCCCTAAACGACCAAAGGCAAAGCCAAAGTTAAATAATTAGATTGATCCCTGAGGCAACGCTAGGACTTAGTGTGAGCTCCAAAACTCAGAAGGCACAGTGCCTTCCCACAGTGCAATACGGCCAGCCTTGCAGCTCAAAGTGGTTGCTTTTTCAACTGAGCATCTGCCTCCTCATTGGTCTTCCAGCCTTCCATTGGCCTCACTTCAATCCACCTTTGAGACTGCCATAATCTTTCTGAAACTCAAAATCTAATCATGTCCCTCCTGTACACCAGACACTCAATACAATGTCCTAAATGCATCCTGCCATGTCTGTCCTTCACACATACCTGGGTGACCACACACCATACCCATTTGTACTTATTTGTTTACTTATTGCCCCCTCCATAGATTATGAACTTCTGGAGATCAAGGATTTTGTCTATTCATCTTTGTATTCCCACTATCCAGGAGAATAGAAATTATAGTTCAATGCTAAGTGGCATGGTTCCAAATCAAATTATCAAAATATTATAGGAGTTTAGAGATAAGAAAACAATCTAGAACACTTAATTCAAGCCCTTTATTTACACAAATTTCTGTCTGAGAAAAATATCCCCAATATCTTCTGCTCACTGTTTTATGAGTCTTTTCTACTTTTTATGCCATAACACCCCCACCCGCCCCCATCTATAGCCATCTACACAATTGGTCATGCCAATTATACTAAGTATCTCCTAAAGCTGTCCTTTACATTCTAGATTCACTACAACTATCTGAGTTCAGGTCCCCTTACTCTCACCTGGGCATTGAGATCAGCCTTCCTTTTTGGTCACGTCACAAATTCTTTCTCCAATCTACTGTCCATGGTGCTAACCTAATTCTTTCTAAAAATTTAACAGCTCACAAACCACATTCTCTCCCAGATAAAATATTTGAAGGCTCCCTATTGCCCAAAAGATATGTTTTTAAAATTCCCGCATGTCCCAGGAGCCCCCTTTGGCCCCTACCTCTTTTTCAGTCTCATTTCCTACCACTCCACTTACCCATCAGCCTACACTTTAGCCACAGAAAACCACAGGCCATTGGTATACTGCTCCAGGGTTTCTGTGTAGCGAGTTGTTTCTTCTAAGCGAAACATCTCATCATCCACCCCTTAAACAGTTAACCTGGTTAACTTTTACCCATTTTTCAAAACCCAATTTAGCAAACAACTCCTTCAGAAACCTTCTATGATTCCCTTCTGAAATAGCCAATTGCACCTTCGCTTCTATTCACTTAACACAATATATATGACAAAGTACTCTAAATATTTGCCAGTCTATCCCTCACTTTACTGTAATCTCTTTGAGGTCAGGAGACATTTCTTATGAATCTTAGCATTTCCTGAGCATGAAACCCAGTATCCAGAATAGAGTATGAACTGTAATAAGTATTTGATGAGTGAGTGAGTGAGTGAATGAGACAGAAGGTGCTATTCTTTATATACAAAGGTGATACCACTACTATCCCATCCACAGATTATATCTTTAAGATATGTTTTCCAACAATGGGGTGGATTACATGGATACATCCGCATTCCACCATCCTTTTTATCCTAGGATCAATGATTCCAGCATGGCTGAAGCCATTAAATAGTTTGTGCTCAGGGAAAAAACCAACTAGCTGTACCCAAAGGGAAATCCTGACCTTGACTTCCTCATCAGTATCACTCACTCCCCAGCTGATCCTTGGCCTTCCCATAAGGTCAGCATGCAGCATAGCTTGGGATTGAGAAATGTAAGAGCAATCTTCTTCAACCTTCAGTAAGACTGGGACAGCACATGTGCAAGATGTCAATGGAGGAAGTTCCCCTTCCTGTCTTCCTCTAATATGACATAGCAAACACAGTGCTGGAATAAAGTTGAAACTAAGAACTTGAGTGGTTGATTAAACTCCTCAGTTTCACTCCTCTGCTAATGAACTACAAAAGCCTTCAATATACACACCAACGTTAGAGAGATTTGGTCACTTAATTACCGTAAAACAACCCCACAGGTTAATGCATGCTTAATCTCAAAGTAGCAGCAGTAACCATGTTGTTATTTATATCAATTGCACAGTTAGAATCAAATGTAGAGACTTCAGGCCCAGAAATGTGAGACAACATCTGATTTAATAGGACAGAAGAAGCATATTTTCCTATCCACCCCAATACCTCTCCCTCAAAATCTAACCTACCATTTTACCATGGTCTGAAATTCTAGAACCAGAAATGTATTCCTTTGATCTTTTTCTCTGTTAACATGCAAATAACATAGAGGACGGATCATATGTTAGACCATGGTCAATTGTGTATGCCTTAGATTTGGTAAATTTAGCCATTTTTACATGGAACTAAGAGAGCAAGGAGTCTATATCCAGCATCCTATTTTGCAGGATTGAATTACTGAAATTTTCTTCCTCTGCCTTACTAGCATCCCAAGAACGAGGCAGCATGAATTCCAACTCAGTGTTTCACTTTATACAGTGTGCATGTTTCTGACAAGTTAGGGGTAAATAATTTTTATAAATCAAATCATAATATAGGTTTGCCAACTGAGAATTGGTGAGGATATTCTCTTGAATAGTAAAATTGTCTTTACTCTTTTGTATAAATGCATGCTATTAAAAATTAGGCTTGCTTTCCAAGAGGCACACTTACAATGTATGTTCTCTCTCTCTCTCTCTGAACATTTAGAACTCCATGACACTACTGATTTAATTTAGAAAATGCCTGCTCAGGTGAGCAATATTCAGCAGGACTGTCCTGATGATTTCATTATGCCTACATAAGATACACAGGGTAAACATTATCATCTCCAAACTGGTAAGAGATTTATTTGTCTGACAGATTAGTAGAGGAACAAGAAATCAATCTTCTCTCATGGAAAATAGAAGAGACCCCAGAAACTAGAAAAGAGACTTGGATTTTAGAGTGAGAACAACTGATAAAAAGTGTATTTGAACAAAAGCCTCAGTTTCACCAATATTGGTAAAAGGAAGTTAAGAATAATGATGGTATGATCATTGTGTTACATGATGTTAGACATTCAAGTTGCTTTCAACTTGAATAACAATTTAATGGATGTTGTGACTAGAAAGTATGTTTTGAATCTCATCAACTTAACTGTGCTTGCACACGATGATGGTTAAAAATATTTTCTCTGAAAAAAAAAAATGACTTTTGTTGGTAGTATTTGGGGACAAAGTGAATCATGTCCCCAAAGAACTTGGAAACAAGGATGCCCACTGACAGATAAGTCAACACTGAATAGGAGGAAACAAAAAGCCTACTGGATTCTTTACTGAATCATAATCAGTGATGTTGGGACCTCAACCTGACCCAAAAGAAATATTTTTCAAAACTATTTGCATCCTTTTGCTCTAAATCCTTAACAATCTACCGATTAATAATGTAAATCAAGGCCTGCAAAAGGAGCCATCTGGGCATAGGCAGAAGTTATCCCTCGTTGCAAATCACACTGGTATCCCAGATTATTCATCAGTGTCATGTAGACTGGATTAGTGAGTATCCATCACCTTAAACCTGATCAATTGTAAGTATACTGATAAGGCCTATCTCTACCCCATGGACAGTGGTACATTCACAAAACTGCTCTTATGTGTTAGCAGTAAGCTGTTCTATGGCTTTCTCCTTTCCTTTGCCATTGATCTTTCTCCAAACTTTTCACCAGTGTTTAAAATTTGATTTCTTTTAATAGTATGACTTAAAAAGTAGTATCTATACAATAGCAAATGAGCTAGGGCATCTATTTTACCTCGTCAATAAAAACACAGTTGAAACTATTTAGAATCACTGGAAG